AGCCAATATCATACAAACTGAAACAAAAGGCATATGTGATGTAACAATTAGCGTCAAAACAAAAGCAACTTGTTTTTATGCCAATCATTGAGAATTTCTACGTCAAGTCATTGTGCTATAGATGCCAAACAGGACCATCAAAGAACTTCAATAAACGAAATTATTGTTGTTTAGAGACAATACTTGCACAAATTTTTTACTCTTTTCTTGAAGACATTTCTTATATTGGTAAATAATTGAAATATAGAAACTAAATTATTATTTATATGCGCGTCTGTTTTTGACTTAGTCGTCATAAATAATGCAGACAAACAAACAGATGTCATTGAATTCAAAACTAAAAGATCTCTTGATTTGATCATAATATGAGTTTATTTCATGAAACAAATCAAATCATATATCAATTGTGTAATGTGATGATCAAATATATTAATTAATTTTTAAAAAGTGATCAGAAACACTGCAGTTAATACAGTTACTTTTCCAAATCGAATTTGATCTTCTGATTTCATTAAAAATCAATGTTGATTTTTTATTGTTTTGAAAAATGAATTTTTTCGAAAATCAAATTTAATTTCTATAAATTAGAAAATCAAGCATTTTCTAAATTTTCATAATTCGATGGATAAATTATGAAAGTTTGAAAATGCTGCAGCTTTTTAAAAATCGATTTTCTGAAAAATAGAAATTCAAAAAAATTTGCAGTGCACTAAAATATGTAGCAAATATCTAACGAAATATAAAAAAGACTGAGAAGTGTTGCCTGTAATCTGTATCCAGCTAAGTGACTGCGGTCTGAAAGTGTCACTTCTCATTTTGGAAAATTAGTGTAAGAATACGACAGCAAAACAAAATTAGTTTTATATTTCAAGGGATTTGATTTAGAAAGCTTTATCAGCTTTGGATTAATTGTGAATTATGCTGTTTCACCAAAAAGAAGATTTAAAAAGTGAGACGTAATGTTCAGTAAATTGTTTCACAAAAGGCCAATGAAATCTTGCTGTATTTTAAACTAGGTCACTGAAATAGGTTGATCGCGTGAGAGTTTTTCACAAAACCTTTTTTCAAACATAGCAAGATCATAGATTTAGTTTAGGTACTATGAATCTGAATCTTAATCAGGAAAGCTTTCAGGAAGGTGATACTCTTAATTATCATGTTGAAAAATGAATTCTAATATAGCTCGAGCAAGGGGCGGAAAAAAAGAAAGTTTTGATGAAGATCGAAGGGGGATTTTGAACTGTTTCTCTCATGTTCTAGAAACATGATTCAATATCCATTCAAAGTGTGATTTCGGTGGACGCTTGTTTGAAGAGAACTCATATACTAGCACCTAAATCTTGCCTAGCTTACATTTTTGCCACAGTTTTCGTTGTTGAATAATTATATTTTTGAGTTCCAACCAGTTTATTTTAAACATAATATTGATCTTATGTTATTATAGAACATAAATAGAGTTCCAATACAAGCACAGACTTATGACGTCTATATTGGTAATTCTGTCTAATTAACTTTAAATATGAGACTTAATTTAGAAGAAGAAGAAGGGCAATACGTAGTTTAACGCACTCTAATAATAAGAGCTGAATGCATTGAAACTCTGCATCTTTCTAAACTAGAATATAGAAAATGCATAGAAAACAAGAGCGAACTCTACAAATTTTAATGCTTCAAACAAAACTGCTGTTAAAATTCGTTTCAGTGAAACATTTTTAATAGCAAAAGTAAATGATTTTAATTTTCGGAATTGTTTTCAGGAAATGAGTTTTAACGAATTAATAATCGAAAATTTGACACTTTCAATCGCTTGTAATCTGGAAAATTGAAATTAATTAAAACATGAAGTTTAATTTAATTGAATAAACTTTGAATTTTTGACTGTATGTTCGCAAATGAGAGGATACCGTCATTTTTACCAAGGAAGAGCAACAACTTCTGGTTGTTACACTTATCAGCTCCAAAAGCGCCTATACCGCTAAGTACCAAAGTAAGGCCAAAGTTTTGATCGATCAGACGGAAACTTATAAGAATGACTACTAAGTGTAGTGTCTATAAAATACTGAAAGTTTCACGTGAAATTGCCTTGACTTACTATTAGAGCTGAACTGCATCGAGAACGTTTCCCTTCTTGTGCATGGTTATCGAATTTGTGACCAAAATAAATCCACAACATACGTA